CAAAATTTTTATCACATATCTTGAAAATAAAACTTAAAATTTTTCGATTTTTTTATTAGGACGTATGCTGAAGTGTTTCAGTTTGGTCCACAGCATTTTGCCTTGACTTCTTAGAAGATTATTAAAGGTGGTGGCAAAATTGGTTTTTAACTTGTTATTGTTTCTTGTGATCTTTTACAATATTAACAGTGTCCTATTGTTGGACCTTCAGCTGTCAAGAAAGGAGGGCCTCCTCCATTCTGTAAATGAAAGAAGTTTGTACTTTCGAATAATCCTCTCTAATTGTAACTACATTAATTTATTCGTAAAACATAATTTTTTATTTTGCATATTTAAACAAATATTTTAAAATTTTAATAGTAATTAAAAAATATGACAAAAAAGGAACATTAAATTCACTATTAGTATAAAAAAATTATTTTTTTAATAGTTCAAAATATTATCTGTTTGTATCTAAACACTATTTATCTAATTTCTCTCTAACATGATGTTGGGAGGCTCTCAGCGTTTCTGTACTTATTGAAATATGTATTCATACATATTTTATTGTTTTGTGGAAGATAACCAGTTGAATTGCTTGTACAACAAGCGACTATCACTTTATATCGCTGTCTTCAAATGTCTAAACCGTTAATTGTTCAGCTCATTTTTATCGCATCCTTTTTAGCTGTACAAAATAAAAAAAAAATGTTTTATATAAATACTGTTGAAATTTTGTTAAAAAAAAAAATAAATTCTAGACCCCTTTCCTATGGGGAGCTCAATGGCAGAACCTTACTAGTAATATGAAAAAAGATAATGAATAAGGACAAATCAGAAACAATATTTCTTGTATTTTTAATAGGCTTCTAGGTAGCAGCTTGTAATACCTTAGCTGGAACATTCTGTGTATTGTGTACAGTACCAACCTAGTGCCATGTACAAACACCTGAGTGTTCACTTTATAAAAGAATATTGTGAGTGGGAGGAATGGTTGGGTAATATTCCCAGCAAATTTGCTCAAGAGCATGTATGTGGATCCAAGAAAGAATCAGTCCAAGTTTATTAGTGAGGCAGATAAGTCATTAGAGAACTTAAAATGGCTTTAAGAAGAATTTGTTCATTCATGGTTTTTATTTTTCTACTACAAATTGTACACTTAAATGCATCTAATATGTAAGTTATATATCTATTATAAATCTATTCTTCAAATTTTCATATTAAATTTACTGGTAACTAATATTCTTCCCAGTCTTATGAATTTCAAATTATGTATTTTAAAATTCTACAAAACTTTATCATCTATAAAGTCATATAGAAATGTTTGTCTATATAATAGCAAAATCTATTGAATACTTCTATTTCCTACAGTCTTCAACAAATTTTGGTCGTTATTAGTTCAATAAAATCTTAAAAAATGTTATCTGAATTTTAATAAAATGTATTTTGTAAAATATTTGAAGTTATAATCTAGTTAGTATATGATCTTTATGTACAAAAATGAACAAAATATTTTGATGAGCAATGCTAATAATACTATTTTCTTTTTATAATACATTTACACTAAAAATTGCCAATACATATTGCAATTTTAAGAAGACATTATATAAATATTATCTACTTCTAAATATAAAGTGTGTATTTATATGTAAATGGAAAATTTAAGAACACTTGTGTAAACATTAACATTCAAAATGAATTATATTAATTCTTCAATTTTTGTAATTACATTTGGAACTGTTTTACATTATTACATTATATATTAATTATGATATGGTGAAACAATATTTAGATACAAATAATATA